TGAAGTCCCCTTAACTATGAAGAAAATCTGATTTTATATCGATTTATAGGTTTCTGGGTAGTGCAAGGAGCACTGGTGGTGATGAAGGCTAAGCACTGGACTGATAACCACAAAGTGGCGGTTCAAACCTCTGGAGAATAAAGATGAAGCTGTCTGTTCCCATAAAGGTTTACGTCCTTAAGAACCCTATGTAGGGTCATTATGAATCGGAATCAACTCGACGGCAGTGGATTTGTTTTGGGTTTTTTTTGAGTGATGCAAACAGCTGCCACTCAGCTACTAATGGAGACACCCACAGCACCATGGAAGAAGGGTCTGGTGATCCGTTTCCATAACATTAAAACCGCAAACCAAATATTTGTCCTCAAGTCACTTCCAATCCATGATGCTCCCATGTGTCAGAGTAGAACTGCTCTCCATGGGGTTTCAATGACTGAGACCTTTTAGAAGTAGTTCACCAGGAATTTCCTTAAAGGTGCTTCTGCGTACATTCAAACCACTAACCAGGTCAGCAGCCTTGCACTTAACCTGGTTTGTACTCCACAGGAACTCCTTCTGTAACTGTTACCGTTGTTGGCTGTCATGCAGCAGATTCTGACTCACGGTGACCCCCTGTGTTACGGAGTAGAACTGCTGCATATAGTTTTCTTGGCTGTGATCATTGCTTTTTTCTTTTTCTGATCATTGCTTTTTTAATATTTTACTTTATTTTTTGTTGAGAATATGCACAGTAGAATAATCACCAATTCCACAATTTCTACATGTACATTTCAGTGGCATCGAAGATATTCTTCAAGTTGAACTACCATGATCACCCTCCTTTCTGAATTGTCCCTCCCCCATAAACATAAACTCACTGCCCCCTAAGTTTCCCATCTACCCTTCTGAGTTGCTGTTGTCTGTTTGATCTCATAGAGACAGAGCTTAAAAGAGAACAATGCTCATATCAGACATTCTTTACTAGTTAAGCTAATCCATTGACTTGTTTTTTTGCCAAATCAGCTTTTCCCAATTCAGTTACAGGTACAATTTTACAAGTGTACAGTGATTGCATTAACCTTGTAAATTTGTTTAAAACAAAAGAGTAAATTTCCCATCACCTTAAACTGAACTCAGTGTCCCATAAATAATAACTCCCCCTCTGTCCATATCCACTAATAATAAACTTTGGTCTTTATACATTTGCCTATTCTTGTCTTTTTATATGAGTGAACTCATGCACTATTTGTCACTTTGTGACTGACTTATTTCATGCAACATAATATGGATTTACGGTAGTGGTGGTGGTTATGTGCCACTGAGTCAGTTCAGACTCCTAATGACCCCGTGTAGGGTTCAGAGGCTATAAAATCTTTATGGGAACAGAAAGCCTCATTTTTTTCCCCAAGGAGTGACTGGTAGATTTGAACTGCTGGTCTTGCAGTTGGCAGCCTTGCTCATAATCCACTATGCTACCAGGGCTATAGTGCTCTGTTAGCGTAGTGGTTACAAACTGGGCTGCGAACCGCAAGGTCAGCAGTTCGAAACTACCAGCTGTTCCGCAGGAGAAAGATGAGGCTTTCTGCTCCCATAAAGATTTACAACCTTGGAAATCTTAGAGAGCAACTCTACTCTGTCCTCTAGGGTCTATGTGTCAGAGTCAACGAGATGGCTGTGGATTTAGAAAGTCTGTAATGAGTCTGCTTTTTCATGCCTGATATTTGTAATTCATGTTTTCTCTCTTTGTTCTTGGTCAGTGTTGCTAAATGTTTTAACAATTTTATTATTGTTTTAAAAGCTTGGCTTTTAAACTTTTAAAAAAAGTTTTTGGCTTTGTTCATTTTTTTGCTTGTACATTTATTTCCGCTTGCATCAGTTTTGGATTTTATCCCAATTCTTTCTCTTCTACTTCTCTTGAGTTTTCATTGCTATTATATTTTACAAATATGTTTTTGAGAAACACACACTATGAGATACATACATAGGATAGTTGTTCTTTAAACTCTCTTCTTTTGCGATAAGGAGCCTTGATGGTGTAGTGGTTAAGCTCTTGGCTTCTAACCAAAAGGTTGGTGGTTCCAAGTCAGCAGCTGCTCTGCAGGATAGAGATGTGACACTCTGTTTCCATAAAGATTTAATTTAAAACTCAGAAACTCTATGGGGCACTTCTATTCTGTCCTATGGGCTTGCTGTGAGTCGGAATCAACTCCATGGCAACAAGTTTGGTTTTGGGGGTTTCAAGTTTTAAATGCATAGATCACAAAAGGGACTCATTGCTATTCAGTTAATTCATGTCCAGACTGAATCACAGTGACCGTAAGGGACAGAATAGAATTGCATCATAGGGTTTCCAAGAGTGTAATCTTTTAGGAAGCAGATTGCCACGTCTTACTCCTGTGGAGCCACTGGTAGTTTCAAACTGCTGACCTTTCAGTTAGAAGCCAAGTGCTTAATCACGGTGCCACCAGGGATTCTTGGGTACTAGAGGTCACAAAGACATGCCCAGTGGCAGATGAATGCTGCACCTTAATATTTCAAACACGCCAAAAGAAATTGTCACAAGTTTTTTCATCTAATACATAAAGGAGATTCAGAAGTCCATGGACAAATTCACTTTCTCTTAATTCAATTTTCCATAAATTTTTGAAGCCCCCTTTTATCTTCCACAACTTAAAAAAACAATAACAGAGAGGGCAAAACACAAGAAGGGGAAAGGGGATAGAAGAACAAGGGAAACACTGAGGTAAGTTTGCATTGGCTAAATGGAACAGAGGTAAACAGGGATGTATGCTCAATCTTAGAACAACAGGGCTCTGTATTACAGGGATCAAGGCATAGTTTGAATGTACGTTGTTAGGCGCATCGAGTCAGTACCAGCTCACAGTGACCCTGTGCACAACAGGACAAAACACTGACTGGTCCTCAGCCAACCTCACAATTGTTTCCACGCTTGAGCCCATTGATGCTGCCACTTTGCCTATCCATCTCACTGGGCGTTTTCCTCTTTTTCTCTGACCCTCCATCTTACCAAACATGATATCCTTCTCCAGCAACTGGTCCCTCCTGACAATACGTTCGAAGTATGAAAGACTAAGTCTGGCCATCCTGGCCTCCAAGGAGCACCCTGGCTGCATTTCTTCCAACACAAATCTGTTTGTTCTTTTGGCAGCCCATGGAACTTTCAATATTCTCCTGCAACACCATAACGCAAATGCATCCATTCTACTATGGTCTTCCTTATTCACTGTCCAGTTTTCACATGCATAAGAGGTTATTGAAAATACCATGACTTGGGTCAGATGCATCTTAGTCCTCAAGCTGACATCTTTGCTCTTCAACACTTTAAAAAGGTCTTGTGCAGCAGATTTGCCTAATGCAATACATCATTTGATTTC